GGAGCCGGGGGCGGTTTTACAGCCCAGCCCAGCGCTCCTCGCTCGCGCAGAGGCCCCCTGCTCCTTGGCGCGAGGTGTGTGCGAGGCGGTGCATCCTGGCTGCTGGACACTGCGGGCAACCAGGTGTCTTAACCCTGTCTTGACCCTCACAGTCCAGCGGGAAGTAGTTAGGGCTCCAGCGGGGCGATGGCCCGGGCAGCCCCCCACCAGGCCCAGGCAGTCCCCCAGGCCTCACTGGACGGCACTCCCTTCAGCACACGCGCTGGTTCCCGGACCTGCCGCAGAACCGTCCACCTGGGCTCCTCGGGCCCTTGTACAGAACCCAACCCCTCGGAGCATGTGGCCGGATCGGCCGCGCGCGGGTCCCCTGCCCCCAGCTTCCGGCTCAGCTTACTAACCTGGAGCATTCAGAGCAAAGGGAGGCTTTTCTAGCGGCTCCCCTTCCCCTGGGCTGTGTGAGGCCTGCCGAGGGCCGTGCCGACCTGCAGTGGATCTCGCTGGACACGCCTCTAAGGCTGCAAGGCTGCGAGGCTGCGGCCGAGGGTCTAGGAGCCGGAGCCTGTGCGTCCAGGAGCGAGAGTCCTGGCTCGCCTGCTGCGCGCCCAGGGAGGATGCCGTGGAGGGAAAGGGAGGGCGGGAGGAAAAAAATGCTGGGCAGGTGACAGCCAGGGACACAGGGCGGAGAGAACAAACCCTCCAGGGCCAGGCGGCTGTGTGTCCTCTGGCCGGTTTGACCGATGGCTGGTCACAAGGACGCCTTTCCAGGCCTGACATCTCTAAGCCCGTGTCCGAAGCCAGAGGGAGTGGGGCCTCATCTAGGGGTCAAAGGAGCCCAGGAAAACTGTCCCCATAGGCCCGGCCGACCTTCGACAGAGCAAGAGCCTCCAGAATGGCCCAGGTCACCAGTGGGGGAGGAAACGTGGGTCTAGACCCCCTGCTGCGTCTCAGAGCTCAGGCTCCCTGTAGGGCCCCTTCCCGAAGGAGGAAACTCCTGTGGTCACTGTGCAAGTGCCCGGAGTCTGGGGCCGCTAGGTGCAGGTGCTCCCTGGGGTGGGGGCTCTGAGTGTTCCCGCCATCTCTCCGGTGGGGCTGGTGTCAGCTGATCAATCGCGAGGCCTTCTCTGCACCCCATTTCCCATTGGCCTCCAGACTAGTCACTCAGCACGTGATGAGGCTGTCACCTGCCAGGCCCATGCCAGGTGCTCCCTGCCCCCAGGGGCCTGTGTTCTGGGGGAGGGCAATAGACAGGAAATAATCAGATACCCCGTTGCCGGGGGTGCAGGGGAGTGCTGGGGGGTTAGGAGGCCCAGACCCGAAGGAAGCGAGGGGTGAGCCACTGTGCCCAGGCAGCCCCGTGGCGAGAGCGTCCTAGGAACAGTGCGGACCCAGCGGCCTGGGCCACGCCCCACGGCCATTTCTCATCGCAGACGAACTCACTTGTGTGTGATTTTAGCCATGTGCTCCCGCCTCTCTCTGGTCTGGATTTCCAAGCAGCCCTCAGGCACTCTGACCACTCCGGGTCACTGATCGAGGACATGGTCAGTTTTTAAGTGGACTTCAGGGAGTCCCCTTCCCACCAGCCTCACAGTTGCAGAGGTGGGCCGGCCAGGCCACTGACAAATCTGACCCACGTATTACCTAGAAGGCCTCTTGGGCCAGGCAGGTAGTTCTGTGACCAGCAAGGGGCTCCATGGAAACCCCTCAACAGCACTAGATCCCAAAGATGTGTGTGGAGCCGGACCAGAGTCCCAGGACCCCCACTCCCTGCCCGCATCCCCGTCCCCACACATAGCCAGGCTCTGCCTTCCCCTCTCAGTGCTTCCTTCCAGGGCTGGGTGCCCAAGTCCACACCTCTGGAGTCCAGGCTGTGCAGGTGTGGTTACTGTTACAATGCATTCAGTGCAGGGACTGGGGTCTGCAAATTAAGGCCTGGCTCTCATCCCACTGCCCCAGGAACACTGGACCACAGGGCGCTCTCTCCCCCAAATGCAGTTTTGATGGGTTCAGGCCCACTTGCATGTAACTAATAGCCGATGTATAAACAGGGCAAGGAGAGGGAAGAAAGAAGGACTCTGCCCTTTTAAGTAAACGGCGAAAATGTGGTAAATACGGTAAGTGCCTCTGCCCCCTGCGGGCTGCAGGCCTCCTCCTCAGCTGTTCCAATCAACCTGCAATCTAATTCCAAATTGTATGTGTGTTTCTGACACCATCAATTTTCCTTCCCATCCATATTTTTCTCATGATTCAGCTTTTTCTAACCACTCAAAAATCCATCCTTCTGATCCTCAGGCTTGCCCTCCAGCAGGCGGGGTAGCTGGTGAGTGGCAGGTTTGGGGATCCCTCCTTCCTGCCAGACATAACTTCCTCTCGGGGTTTCCTCTGTGTCTTCCTAATTCTGCCAATAGAGCATGTTCTTGACGTCTAGTCGGACGCGGGGAGGATGCCCCAGGAAGGTGGCTGGGCTCTGTGCGGCCAGGTGCGGTTAGCTTTCAGAAAATTCTCAGTGATTGAGACAGTCCTGGGATGGCTCCGTCTGAACTCGGAGCGGCAGGGACGGGCCTGGTCCATAATCCTCTCTCTGCCTTTATTTTTAAGGCATCACGAGCCTGCTGGCCAATGGCGTTTACTCGGCGGCCTACCCCCTGCACGATGTAAGTGACCTTGAGAACACAGTTTATCTCTGCGTCACCCTCGCCAGATCCCCGGGGGCCACACACCCCAGGGAGCTCTCATTATCCTGCGGTCTCGGCTTCCTGCTTTGGCTCTCCCTTAAATGTCAGCCTCGCACAGGCCTCCTCTGTTCCCCCGAGCAGGGACTGAGAAGTCGCAGGCCCATCTTTTTTCCTGCAGAACAATTCTACCAGAAACGTTGGTGGCAGAAACTCTGCCCTGGCTCTGTGTGAACCTCGGGGCCACCGGTCCACTGCCTGTCTTCCCTGGCTCTGGCTCGGTGACCCCCCGTGTCCCCCCCCCCGGGTTCTGGCAATGGCCCGGGCTCTGCGTGTTTCTATCTCTGCCGAGCGAGTGGCCAGCCTCCTGAACTGAATCTCCAAATCCCCCTGGGATCCCCCTGACAAATATAGCCCGTGGCCCCGGCCCACGCTGTCTTGGCTCGGGGTGGAGAGAGCGAGATGATTCCTTCTCATTGTATCTATGGAAACAGGGGTTAGAGTTCAGCAGGGCACTGGGAATGGGCCGTGGGGCCTGAGCAGTGTGGGAACCCCGGACAGAGGATCTCGAACTTTCCAAATGTGCATTGCTGCAAAGACGAGGCGCCAAGAAGCAGGAGAGAGAGGGTAGACCTGGGTGGCCAGGGACCCAGACACCAGTCCCGGCCACACTCCCTGGGGTCTTCAGTGGAAATAGCCCCTTGCTGTCTCTGAGCCTCAGTGTCCCGCCCTGTCCCGTTGCCAGGGCCAGTGTGGGTGTCAGGGGACGCAGAAACGAAAGGGTTTTCGGCAGCAGGTGGCTGGACAAACAGAGAGAGGGAGCTGGAACCTGGGGGGCATCCCCCCAGAACACTGACCTGCGCCTGTCCCCTGTCACTCACTGTAGGGATTTGAGGTCGACCGGCTTTCCCACATTTGTGCCTTCACGCATGCTGTTCCTTCTGCCTGTCATGCTCTTCCCTCCATGCATGGCCCACAGCGTCGGATGCCACCCCCTTCCAATGCCTGGCTCACTGCGTTCATTCGTTCATTCACTCATTCATTCATTCATTCATTCATTCATTCANATTCTCAGTGATTGAGACAGTCCTGGGATGGCTCCGTCTGAACTCGGAGCGGCAGGGACGGGCCTGGTCCATAATCCTCTCTCTGCCTTTATTTTTAAGGCATCACGAGCCTGCTGGCCAATGGCGTTTACTCGGCGGCCTACCCCCTGCACGATGTAAGTGACCTTGAGAACACAGTTTATCTCTGCGTCACCCTCGCCAGATCCCCGGGGGCCACACACCCCAGGGAGCTCTCATTATCCTGCGGTCTCGGCTTCCTGCTTTGGCTCTCCCTTAAATGTCAGCCTCGCACAGGCCTCCTCTGTTCCCCCGAGCAGGGACTGAGAAGTCGCAGGCCCATCTTTTTTCCTGCAGAACAATTCTACCAGAAACGTTGGTGGCAGAAACTCTGCCCTGGCTCTGTGTGAACCTCGGGGCCACCGGTCCACTGCCTGTCTTCCCTGGCTCTGGCTCGGTGACCCCCCGTGTCCCCCCCCCCGGGTTCTGGCAATGGCCCGGGCTCTGCGTGTTTCTATCTCTGCCGAGCGAGTGGCCAGCCTCCTGAACTGAATCTCCAAATCCCCCTGGGATCCCCCTGACAAATATAGCCCGTGGCCCCGGCCCACGCTGTCTTGGCTCGGGGTGGAGAGAGCGAGATGATTCCTTCTCATTGTATCTATGGAAACAGGGGTTAGAGTTCAGCAGGGCACTGGGAATGGGCCGTGGGGCCTGAGCAGTGTGGGAACCCCGGACAGAGGATCTCGAACTTTCCAAATGTGCATTGCTGCAAAGACGAGGCGCCAAGAAGCAGGAGAGAGAGGGTAGACCTGGGTGGCCAGGGACCCAGACACCAGTCCCGGCCACACTCCCTGGGGTCTTCAGTGGAAATAGCCCCTTGCTGTCTCTGAGCCTCAGTGTCCCGCCCTGTCCCGTTGCCAGGGCCAGTGTGGGTGTCAGGGGACGCAGAAACGAAAGGGTTTTCGGCAGCAGGTGGCTGGACAAACAGAGAGAGGGAGCTGGAACCTGGGGGGCATCCCCCCAGAACACTGACCTGCGCCTGTCCCCTGTCACTCACTGTAGGGATTTGAGGTCGACCGGCTTTCCCACATTTGTGCCTTCACGCATGCTGTTCCTTCTGCCTGTCATGCTCTTCCCTCCATGCATGGCCCACAGCGTCGGATGCCACCCCCTTCCAATGCCTGGCTCACTGCGTTCATTCGTTCATTCACTCATTCATTCATTCATTCATTCATTCATTCAGTGAGAACATCTGTCAGCCAGAGGACACCTGCCGGAGCGGCATGTGCTCTGAGCGAGACCCCCAGGAGGGCTCCGTAATCAGTGTGTCCACTGGCCGCTCGGCAGCTTTCGGGCTTCCTCCCTGGTCAGCATCTACCCCCTTGGGGTCACCAGCTAACTGACCTCTGGGTAGACGAGGTGCTGCGGCACCCATGTGGCCGTCTCAGCCATGAGAAGAGCTACAGGGCAGGGGAGGTCCTTGGAGACTCTGGGGAAGCTGGTCCCGCTGCTCTCGGAGCGTCTCCATTCCAAGGCCAGGGCGTCGGGTGGCTTGCCTGTGGTCCAGTCCCCCGACCCGGAGGTGGCTGGCAGGGCCGGCAGGGTCGTGGAAGGAGCTGGTGAGTGGAACGAGCAGTGGGCAGACCTCCAGGAGGCCTCCGAGCTTTATCTGCCAGGCGATGCTCAGGACCAGCCCCTCCCTCCACCCCTGCTGGACCCTCACAGAGCCCCTCTCTGGTGGCTCCTGCTTAGTCACTGGTGTCATCGCTGGTACATGGGACTCACTTTTGACTTTTAGACCTTCCCCTGCCATTGCACTTGGAGCTGGGATCCGAGTCCCAGGTCTGATCAGTTTCAGCTTTCTGTCCTCAGGAAAGTCGATGAGCCTCAATGTTTCCATCTGTAAAATGGGAGATTTGGGCTCCCTGATCTCTGCATGCAGCGACCACATCATTTATTGCCCCTCCTGGGGCACCTGAGAGTGACAGGGGCCCCACCAGAACAGGGCACTGGAGACAGGACACTGGCACCATCCTGCAGAGTGGACCGTGTGTTCCCCCTGTTGATAGACTCCCCAGCCCCACAAGCCACCTCCAGGGACCTAACCGCAGTCCTTTCTGGGACTTTGCCTCTGGGTCGGGGGGAGGGCAGAGCTCACAGGACACACGGAGCACTTGGTGTCAGGAGGGAGGCCTGGTCCCCCTCTGCTCTGTGTGAAGTTTCGCCCCAGGACGATGTTAATGGTGTCTGCGTGCTTGGGGAGTTTGATTGGAAACGTAAGGGAGGGAGCCACCTGAGAGCGCCCTCGGATGACAATGTCCCTTTTCCCTTTTCCCGCAGGGAGACTATGAGGGTGAGAACGTGGAGTTCAACGACAGGAAAGTAAGTGGACACGAGTGGGGGGGGCTCCGCCAGGTCCGGAGGGACCCCAGGGCCGCGGGAGGGCCGGGGCAGGGCAGGCCGCGCAGTGGGCGTCTGCGGTGCAGGCTCCTGCTCCGGCGTTTGGGGGAGCGCCGGTGAACCCCACTTGGCTGGCCCTTTGCTCGTTCTGATTCTCGGCAACGTCGGGGGCAGGCTCTGGTGAGCGTGGGAAAGGCTGTGCTCCTCAAGGCTCCCCGGCCCGGCTGGGGGGAGAACCCGTGTCCTACCCGGGACAGTCCACCTCCGGCTGTGTTTGCCGGAATCGGCCCGCCCCTGCCCCGCTCCCGGGCAGATAAGTTTGGGGGCCGCTGTGGCCAGCTGCGTGGACAGCCACGGCCCCCAGCAGCACCCTGGGGAAACCTGCTGAGTGGTGTTCGACCCAGTGCTTCTCAGACTTACTTGGCCTGGAACCCTTCCTAGCGGACAAGTTAGTTTCGTGGACACACTTTGGTTCCCCAGTTTGGTTCCTGATTCCAGCCCCCCC